ATGCATCAGTATGCAACACCCCGAAGTATTATATTTGTAGTGAAGTGAATTCTACATAGGATTTCTTTGCTAGAATTTATTAGAATTACGATCTTCGAAACTTAATGAGATAATCATAAATCCCAGGATGAAGTGAAACTGGTCATTTAATTGTCAACGAGGTCAAATATACTAGTGGATACGTTGCAAGTTTAGCCCAGGATGTAGTCAGTGAAATTAGAAAGGAAGTAAAGAGTGCGCCAATTCGCGTTGTTGCTCAATCAAATAATCGAGATGAAGAGTAAGTCAGACTTGATTGTTTCTTGGCTAATAGATCAATCTAGAATGGAATAACATCGAAAGGAGTTGATTACGACAATATTCGTTCATAAAATGTGTTTGATAGGAATAACATTAATTCGGTGTCGAATGAGAATGTTTTGACGGTTTCCGAAATAGGACGAATGCTATAATAATTATGGACAGACGATGAACAATTTTACCGTAACAAATATCTCAATTTTAGAAACAACGAACACATTTATATTGGGCACAATATCAGAAACGACGAAATATTCATAAGGGTTGGTAATGTATTAGTATTCAATGGATTTGACGTAAACGCATGAACCATTCTCGTAGATGATAATAACAACGAAACATTGATAACAAAGTTTGAGGACTGGAACGTTTGGCTTGTTTATTTGCTCTTATTGTTTTTTTAATTTACTTCAGTTTATTCGCAATCTTTAATATTGTGAAGCCATTTTCTCATTAAACGCTTGTTAATTCTTCAAAGTTTGACTGCGTTTTTTACGTGATTGCAAGTGCTGTCAATATTTATCAAAAATGTGCTCGTTGTAACTTTATTAATTATGTAAAATTATCCTTTTTCAGCAGAAGGAATTCCTCTTCCTTAACAGTCATCAAGTAATAGCCTTTCATTTTACTGTGGTCAATGGCACTAAGTCGGAGGATAGCGAAAAGATATTCAAGTAAGATATTTAGAATATTCAACGCCACATTCATAATCAGTTTCCAAAGTTACATATTGGTGTATTGCGGAAATGTGGGCAGGGTAAACGATTCTGCTGGCTTTGCCTTTTCTCTGGTCTGATAAGACTATGGATATCATTTTTTGTTTGCAGTAGTACATTTCCAGATATATCGCTGTGTATGCTACCTTTACTTGATGAATCATCGATGACGGGAGTTGATTATCAAGTTGGAACGGAATTTGATTTTTATACCGGTACTGTATATGCGATTGTTGCTGTTCCAACAATTGTTTCCATAAATTCACCGAAAGAATTCTTTTCGAGCGATATAAACGATTTCCGTCAATGGTATAATGATAAACCGAGAGCGATTCAATTTCTTAGTCAGCTGTTAGGGCCATAAAGACATTGTTATGAAGATGCGATAAATATTTGGTAATATATAAAAACGGATGATTCATTTGAAGTGTCAAATATTGTACGAAATATGCAAATTATACAGCCAATTTTTGTGCCTTGAAAACAGCTATAATTAGTCCTTTGATTAATGAAGCAACGATGAAAGTATGTTAGTTGACTATGTGAATGAAACGTTGCCTTCGTGGATAATAAATGAAATTTTCGAATTCATCAAGTTGGGTGACGTTAATATCATCAACTGTTTAAGTGATGCTTTATGTTTGTTTTTATTTTTTGACCTGAATTGAGTTGGCACCCAATTCTGTGTTCACCTTAACTGAGATAACCTGTTATCAGCTTGGTGGATGGATCGAGTTAAATATAGAATGGAAAAAGTGGAGTTTCTGAATAACTTATGAGTTAATATATGAAAAAATGTGCAACTTCTAAAATGTTGAAAAAATTTTCTGAATTTATGAATGTTTTTCTCAAAGCATTTCGAACTTTAGAATGAATATTTGAACCTTCGAATTTTCTTTCATTTTTTGAATTACATTTCTGAATTAATGGAAAAATATATTAAAGACCATTCCACAAAAAAGCACTGTAAAGAAGGAAGTCTTGATTAGATAAAGTAAACAAAAATGATATATTTCTTACATATGCATATAAAATTTCTTGTATTGATGGAAATAAACGGTACTATTTAGAGATTTTTATTGGTATGTCATATTTTTGTCGTATTTCAAAATTGCAACAAGAATGAGATACGAATAACTGTTCTATATGCATCGATGATCTTAATTATTAAAGTACGGTTGAAGGATGAGTCTTACTAGATGACAATGATGACCAAGCTAGTACTGGTACTAATCATTAAAATAATCATTTCTGATTGATGATCTTAATCATTATTGCTTGCGAGGGGCAATCTGCAAAAAATTCATTTCATTCATTCTTCTTTTTTTTCTGATTTTGTTTGTCTATAAAATTTAG